AGCGGCAATGCCACGTGCATCGCCCGGGAATCGAACCCGGATGGCCGAATCTAGAGGCAAGTATCTTACCCCTAGACCGGAATGCTCCCCTTCTGGCACTAATGAATTACACTGACGCTTATTCCCTTCATATTTTGTAACAAACGCGCTAAAACTGCAATATAACAGCACTATATGCTTCTTGACAAAATGCAATACAAGTAAAAATTTAGCCCTGATGGCATTCATTCTTGGTGGAAACGTAATTACAAAATATTTTGTAGTAACTATTAAATTCCGGCTGAAAACAGTCCACGGTTTAAAAAAGAATCATTCCAATGACGGTCCATTCTTGCGGTCCTGAAATCGCCACTATTTCCGGCCTCTCCAACGCAACTCGTTGTCCAGACGTAAATATGCCGACCACGGCAAAATATCCCAGCAACTGCCGGGTTAATATCCGACATCATTAGCGTCGCCACGGGGGGGCAAGCGGGGCAGCTTGCCCCCCCCCCAACCTCGGACCGGGCACCCCCTGAGATCGATACAGATCCGATGAGATTTTGGAGTCGGGAAAAAATGGGGGTACCCTTTCTGAGAATGCCTGTGAGGTCAGACTCGGTTGCAGCAAGCAGTTCAAACCAGAGTCTGACTCGCAGTCGCCAAAGTCTTGAAGACTCCGATTCCAGACTCGGAAATGTCAATGCTGTGATTCATTCCATGTTCCTAGTTCGTTCTTTATTACATTTTACATACGTTTTTTCATAAGTTTTGGAGTGCTGATACAATTTTCGTTCAAAGCGTGAAACGAAATCTTCGGGGCCTTTCTCAACTCTCATCAAATGTCTGCGACAGGCTCAAGTACAGTACAAGTGTTGCAGGGCTCATGAGCTTGCTTTAACCCTCAAGGGCTCCTAAGGAGCTCCACTGAGCCCTAAAGAAGCCTTCAGAGGGCCCAAACCGGCCTCTTAAAGTCCCACTGGTGTCCATGTTCTCTGAGGGCCCATACAAGGATATTTGAGCCTTCGAACATTTCTGAGAACCTGGCCTCTAATAGTTCAGCCAAGCTTTTGAGGCGACAGACTTTGCTAACCCCAAGCCGGCATTTGAGGGGTCACAGATCACGTGTCCCTCTGAGGTCCGCGACACATGTTAACCCGCGCCCCAGTGGCGGTCTCAGCCTACTTCGCCCTAGTGGGGGGGGGGGGCATATGTTACCACCCACCTCTAACTCAAAAACTAAGAGGGATAGAAAGACGCGGTAAAAAGCAGTCGATAGCTCTCAATGCGTACGTTTGAAAGTATTTCGGTCATTTTTCATCTTAGAGCAATATTGGGGTCACCAGAGGTCATCAAAGGTCAAAATTTGCCAATTGTCATTATATTTTTCAGAAAACATGCCGCTATCTCAGGAACTATGGTAGCTAGAATAACGCATGGAAGAGCAATTGATAGCTTTTGAACTCTACTTTTGAAAAGGTCATTATCAATATTGACCTCAGGTCAACGGTTTAGCCTCCAGAGGGCAAAAACTCCAAAAATAGCTGTTTTTACGAAAAGTGTTTTTTGACAATAACTTCGACTACAAAAAGCCACGACATTTCTATTGCCAGAATCGTGTTCCCCTCGCCGAGACGCGTCGAATGAACTATAATTTGACCTTGAAAGGTCAACTTCAAAATTTGACCTCAGGTCAAGGTCATGACCTTACCGGAAAAGGTCATGTTGCATATCAGTCGATGCGTTTCAACAAGGCAAACACAATGAGACCATCCCCAGCGTTCTATCTCTTTCCAATCGCGAGTTATTGGCAAAAAAAAACTGTTTGTAGCCTCAAGTGACCTCGGATGACCTGTCTAGAGGCTATCAGCAAAAATGACACCTTGGTCATCACGAGTGGACTAAATCATTGTGATTCTGAAATATTTGGACTGTTCCGATGCGTACACACGGATCTAGAGGCATTTTCATTTTTCTCCATTGACTTGTAATGGAAAGGTCACGCCACTGACCTGACCTTAGGTCACGGATATAAAAAATCCGAGATATACAAATTGTAGGCGCCCATAACATCATGCAATCCACCAAGTTTCAAACCTTTTTGACAAACACTGCAGGCTGGACATGATTGCAAACTTTTTTTTAGGCTTGGTCAGTTAACTTGACCTGGTGACCTGACCTGACATGACCTGGGGTCAAAAATTTCACACATTGTCCAAAATTGATGTACCAAAAGCTACCCCAAGCGGCGCGGCGCTACGCGCCGCGGTTTTTTATTCACACGCAAAAAACGCGACAGGGTGGTAACATATGCCCCCCCCCCACTGGGGCGAAGGTTAATTATGTCCCTACGTAGGGTCCTTAGGGATTCGACACAGACCCCCAGGGTTCACACTGCTATCCGAGGGCTCCAGGCTCACCCTGAGCCTAGTCTCTTAGCGCCAGCCGCCCACACTGGCTTCTGAGGGCCCCACCTTGGGCTCGGAAAGCCCTAAAGCACCACGTACACGTAAATATTTGACGTGACCCACGCCGATCTCCGGAATCCTAAGCATGCTTCTGTGAGTCAGCACCGACCCTGAGTGGCCTAAAATGGCCTGGAAGTCCCAAACCTATCTCTAAGGGATCCCTTGCCGCTATGCCGTGCGTAGCTTTTGGTTTCGTTTAACAGTTTTTGTTCGCGTTTGCAGCGCTTCCCTTCACACGAAAAACGAGAAACTTTTGTTTACACTCGAGTGAACAAAACACTTCCTCTCACTGGAGCAAAGATGAATTACTTCCGATTCATACTTCCGACATTCACTCTCCGCCGAATGCCCAACTTAGCTACGATCGGCGGCTGGGATAAGTCCTATGCATTTCACGTAAAACCTCTGCATGCATGCGTGAATGGAGGTTTTAGCAGGGTGATCCGATTAAATGGAGCGTTTTTCACCTTTTTCTGGGCAATGATCATGAGCGTCGAGCGTCTGCACAGGGACCCTCTGCAGTGCGTCGGCAATCGCAGCCACTATATACTATAATTCTACCAGTCGTTTTTGTCATGAAATTTCAAAATTTCGATTTTTTCTGTAAAAGAATTACATGTCATAGCTAGAAGGAAACCTTTGTCGCCATCGGATTCCTGTCACCATTGCGCGTCGAATGATATGTAAAACGAGTGAGTAAAGACTGGGGAAAGGCAAGTTTTAACACAAAAGTTGAATTTGCCCCCCCAACCGAAAATCTCTGGCGACGCCTATGTCCGACATACATATTAGGCACGCGCTCGTACTGCACGCACTATACGTAGTAGAGCCGTATGCACGAAGAAATCGTTTGAAACTCTATCTTTGTTTGAGGCGCTGGAGGAAATCGTTGCATGTTCAATCGCGAGTGAACGGGATGTTCCTGAATCGGGATGTCACATGTGAGCCTGCCATCTCCCACCCGATCAGCATATGAGCATCCAATCAGTATAATCCATACATCTATAAATGGGCGAACGCAAACCAGCCGAAGTGCAAAGACCGACAAACGGGTCAAGCATCATCAAGTAAGAACACCCAAACTGTGCAGCCTTCAACTCAAGATTGTATTGACCCACGGCTAAAACTAAATGATATAGTATGTAGACATTATTCAAACGGGCGCTTATCGACCTGGCGGAAGGTGATGGGATGCGATTGATTGTGCAAACACAGCTTTCTCCACAAACCGTGCAAATAGGATCGTCTATTTTTGCGAAGGCAAATACCACCGCTGGAAGAGGATTGGACGGACCATAAGGTGCCTAAGCCTCTTTGGTGAGCCGAGTGGAGAGTTAGATATCGCGTCCGTACGCCAACGTTTTTACGGCATGTTCTTCAGCAGTAAGCGGCCTCTCTTAGCAATCTTTCATCACAATGTAGGTAGAGTAATCCTTGCTAATCACTAGATTTTTGAAAGATGTAGGCGAATTTAAAGACATACATTATGCTCAAAACTATATTTGTAGGTCTCCGTATTAGTAGCCGAGTCCCAGTGCATTTCAGGATACACATGCCGTAAGGATTCGGATCACCCGAGATTTCATTGCGTGGAATTATATTCCATTCCCAGAAGACGCAGCGTGTCTCGCCGTCCAAAGGCTCCCTTTGACAAGCTGTCATGTCATTTGACAAGCTGTCATGACAAGCTGTCATGTGACGGCTCTCGGACTGTCAAATCGAGATCACACTCATATCGGCCATGTCTGACGCTGTCATGTCTGCGTTAGATAGATGAAGGCGGGAAGACGTAGCCCGTCATCAGTTTTCCATCAAAACGATTCGATAGCTTGTATGCGGTAAGGCACTATGGCATCAATTTGGGGGTGATCTGCCCCAGCAGCCATCCAGGTCAATGTCAATGAGGAATTGACCCGCGTTCTGGAATTACTAGAGGGTGGTTCAAGGCGCCCTTTCTATATACCAGGTTATTGTGTAGATAAACGTTATTCTGTTTGGTGCACACAAATTCCTTGAGATCGTAGTGAATCTTTTTCTGAGCAAGTGTGTATGCGACTGACAGATGCTATTTCCTTTTATACAACGCTGGGCAATCTTATAAGGATTGTAATTATATCGAGAGCCAGACATCTAGTGTAGGTATTACGTAAGTTATTATTACGTAAGTTAAGTTACTGTAAATTAATCATATGGCACAGAGAGAGCTCCTTCAAAAAGACAGGGGCTCTCCGAACGAGCTCTTCGAGCTCTTCGAAGCTCTTCTACAATCTGACCTCCTTAGTCCGAAGTTAGTGCTTCCAGCTTTTAGTGGTATACATGCATCGCAATGAATAGCCAGGAGGTCGAAAGGTAAAATGAATGGCATTCATCGGCAAATAAACTGCTTGTATACAATTTCCCTCATCCCTCAGAAATATAACCCGAAATAGAATCCATCCTAACCTGACACAACCTCTCCCACCTTGCATGGAACTTCTCCGCTACTACTCGACACCCATGCCTCTCACGGCCGGCCTCTTCCACCGTGTGACGGTCTGGGAGCTGCGGACCTACCTTCCTGCCAGTCGATGGCGAAGCTGAAGTAGACGCCGATCGTGTGCACGTCCATGCTAGCGATGATGAGCAGGTAGAGGCCCATGCAGAGGTCGGCGAACGCCAGGTTGCACATCAGGAACTTGGGCGTGGTGAGCTTGAAGCTGCGGTTGATGAGGACCACCAGCACGACGACGTTACCAACCACGGCCGTGACGACCACGAGCCAGACGGCCACTCTAAGGGGTTGAGAAGTAAGGGGAGGTCACGGAAATGGCTAATCAAATAGCAGCTGCAGGAGGGACCCCGAGTGCTGCGTGAAGCGAGTTCATATGGGTTATTGTATGAATATATGGGTCTCTTGTGTGCATGAATATATCTAGATATTGCCATGGGGACTCTGTAGCGTGTCTCGCGACCTTTTACATCAGCCATATCCTGCTACCTGACTACCTAAAGCACGTCATTAACATCGTTATGCGGTTACATCATGCAGACAAAAATCAATGGTTCTATCCGGCTGAAAGCTATCATACATTTGTCAATTACGTCCATTCGATTGACGGCTGGGACGGTGCGGTATCAGTTATCACGTTACCAGTCGGGCAGCAATGAATGACAGTTAATTGGGGCAGCGACAGCTTCCGCACAGTGACGAGCAAAGATAGGTAACATCGTGCATTAGCGGCCTCCATTAGTGCGGGTATAGAGGTCCCCAGACAGCGATACTGCGCCCGGCACTGTGTCCGCCTCATAAGGCACAACATGGGACCCTGATATCCCCGTGGTGATTATCCAGACCCACAGATGTGTCCTGTATCCCATGTCCCGTCTTGTATCCCGTGAGGTTTCCGTAGTGTCACACAAGAGCAATGAGCGAGCATCTTGTAGGCTATGGTGTCCCCTTAGTGACTAGTGGCAGTTCATAGCACCTCGCAGCACATGATGTCTCCGTTGCAACTCACCCGAGTCCCCCTGCATCCCAGGATGTCCCGTTTGAATGTAATCCAGGCTATTCCCGTGAATACCCACCTGAGCGTCTTGTATCCCATGATGTCCTCGCACGGGTTGAAGGCGTCTGGTGTGGGTGAACAGACCACGCTCCTCAGCCGGCTGGTCTGGTCACTGTCACAGACCAGGTGGCTCGTCTCCTCGGAGACAGCCGAGTGGAAGATGCCCCCGGAGACGGCCGGCCCACCCGCGCCGCCGGCCGACAGTGTCACAGACTCCCGGGAGCAGTTGGTGAGCTTGCGCAGCTTCTCTGCCCACTCCTGTGAGAGGGAGCAGAGTCAGACTCGGTAACCGCACACCCACAGTCTTACAAAGGAGAGGGCGCTTATCTTTTACCTCTTTCGAGCGGGGGCAGTTGGTCAGGCTTAGCAACCGTTTTACCCATTCTTACAAAGGGAAGGGGCGTTTATGTGTCCTCTGTTGCGGGGGAGAGGGACACTTCATTCAGGCCAGGCTCGGCAGCCGCTCTACCCAGTACCCGCCCGCTCCTGAGAGCAGCAGCAGCCGGGCAGTGGCACAGCGAACTCAAAGGGAGAAATCTCGCGATTGGGTTATGGAAATGGCATTAGGTTGATTACGAACTTTGATCGCATATGCCTGCTGAGTTGCCTGTAAATATTCATGAGAAAATCGTGCCGGTCTAAGTCCAAATAATGGACATCGGTATGCACTATCTCGAAAGCAATATCAGGGAAAATTAGAATTCCGATGCCCCATCGTAAATGAATTCCATGAACTTTAATATTCGCCGATAAATTATTCCTGAAATGACTGTTTTATTTTTTAGGGCTCCATGGTAGAAAAATATACCTATTCTTAGAAAAACATCGCACCTTGTCTATTGACTTTATTGGTTGAATATTTAATATTGTTATTTATTTAATCCCCATCGCGACCGACCTGGTATCGGCGGTGCTCCTCCGGGTCCTGTATATCGGGGAAGTTGAAGGCGCAGCAGTGGTACGGGTAGGTCAGGTGCGCCTCCTGGATGGAGCGAAAGTGGTAGACGGACGGGAAGGTGCGCAGCGACGCGGTCCGCTTGATGAACAGCTGCTCGATGTCCTCCAGGCCGTTGGTCGGCAGGCTGGTCAGCGCTGTATCCGACATGTCACTGCGGGGGGGGGGGGGGGCAGAGCTGTCAGACGGACCGGCAACGGCGGCAGCACCGCAGCACCACAGCAACAGTACACTACAGCACCACAGCACATATAGCACGGCACCCGTTATACACCACAGCACCAGTCATCCTCAGCAGCACTGTCCCCTATACCACTGCCCCTCGTAAGTACCACAGCACCAGACACATTCAAAACCAGTTCACCAGCACACGTCACAACAGTCACACCAGTCACAAGTCACCTTCAGCACCACTGCTCCATACCACCGCACCACGGCACCACAGCGAACCATCGCACCACTGCTCCACCGTCCAGCGTTCACCCATGCACCACGGCATCACCGCACAGCGCGACATGCCACCTCATTATGCTTCATCAACAGGCGGGCTCTCGGAATATGCTCGGCACCGCGCGACCCCGCGCCGGGTCGCTGTTCGCCCTAATGCACTGGGGCGGTACCGATGGGTACGAGGCGTCGCAGAGCGAGACTTCCGACGTGACGCGCCGTCTCCGAGCTAATGGGAATTCATGGGGTCACCGACAACCGTGGTCCGGATGGTACAGAGGTGTGAGTCGAATATCGATCAGTCGACGTAGCATGAAATGGATGGATGGCTCCACAAATCGCTTTTAGGATTCCGCACTTTTTGAGGATGGTGATTCAGTCAATCGCGCTTCGACCCCAATCATTCTGCTGGCCGTTGTCCCATCAACAACCTCCACAGTAGCTTACAGAGGGTGGCATTGTTGATGGTTGCAGCTAAACGATTGAACAGCTGAATCAGTGTTGCAACTTCATGCATGCTCCTCGTGTGAGCACAGATCACGTGCAATGTGCATGTTGAACATTCACCCGAATCCAGTATGGAGGTAATTAGATACTGCTGTAAGACAAGACACTTTTATATTTCAATTCAACCTTTCTTATGCATCACGCAGCTCCCCTTTATGCAACCAATTGCGCTGTATGTATACGTACTTACATACGTGCCGGAAATTACAACGAACTTATTCCATTGGTTTTGACATCAACAGAAGCCATTATAGCAGATCAATAAGTGCCAGCTAATCATTAGCGCAGTCTTCTGCTCAGTAAGCAATAGCGCTGAGAGCAGTCACAAGCCTCTCGAGCGTAAACGGTTTCGCATTAGCTGCGTTATGTTCGATAAGGCCGATCCCGCGCCGACCGGTTTATACGGTCTTGGACTTATCTACCTATATCCAACGACTAGGGGAACTGTCATAGTCATTTCGATGATTTGTGTTTTTAGGACGCTCAGACTTTGGAGGTCATCGTCGTTGCCCAGTGCTGTTTGTTATTACTTTCTTTCGATGTCAGAAATCAAACTATAATAGAGCTCATATAAGAAAGTAACGTATAAGAAGGTAAAGCTGTGCAACAGCCAACAATTGTTGTTGGCACTTCAACTTCTGTTACATTTCTTGATTTGATAATTGATTGGCTAGCGCCAAACGTTGATTTGTCAGCCAACATCATTCATGCATGCTCCACTCGTATCTTCTTTTTTTTTTTTTGCTTCTTTTATGTGTGAGATCGTTGTGACATATACGCATGCAACATGCTCAATGGAACTCTCACAAGCTGTGCATATAGCAGTGGCGGATCCAGGATTTTCACTGGGGAGGGGCTGCAGGTCATAATTGGGCGCCACGCCCCGGATGGGCGCCATAGTCGCATCGTATTGGCGCTGAAATATTGGCGCCCAGTGGCCCTGACAAGAGGCGCCCAGGATCAGTATGTACAGTGACACCACACGATTGGAAATATCGGTGCGGAGCGTACTGAAACGACGTTATTCGACTGATTTTTGCATCCTAGTCCTAGTATGCGGCACTCCGAAGAGTTGCGAATTGAAAATTGGCGCCACTGCGCCTTCGGCGCAGTGGCGCCAGTTTTCCTTGGGTGGGGGCTGCCAGCCCCCGCAGCCCCCCCCCCTGGATCCGCCACTGGCATATAGACGCCTACCCGCTCACATTGTGATAAACCTCCGTTGTCACCACGCGGGTCCTAAGCACCGGAATATTCCCCCATGCAGGAGTGTGCCGAGTAGACGGCCGTGAGCGGTGAGCTCAGCTGGACGCGTCGTCCATTGACGGCACTCAATGGCATTAGCGCGAGGAATTTGCACACTGTGTGTCGCATGCCGTTGTATTCACCAGTCAGCAGCCAACGCCGTGTTGCTATGGCAACCACCACCCGATAGGAGGAAGCAGAGGGGACCAGCCTGTTCGGCAGAGCGAGGTTCACGCATTTAGCTAAGTGCTGGCCGCGACTAGTCCTTCGGTGGGGCGCCAGGATACCACAGAGTATTGGACGGGTCGGGCCGACCTTCTCACTCCGTGGCTCGACCTCTGCTGTCACAAACAGCGGCATAACAAACAGCAGACCGGGCCACCGGCGGCGGCGACTACATAAAGGCGGGTCGGCGTGACTACGAATTGGGCGGCGATGAGGTTTTGACTGCGGTGCACCCGAAAATTGGGAAAATGCTATGCAGAAAAAGATGGAAGATATGCGAATTTACTCCGTTCCTGAAAGGCACATTGAACAGGAAAGCTTGGCATTGTCGGGAGCGCTAATGAGACGATGCTCTCTCTCTCTCTCTCTCTCTCTCTCTCTCTCTCTCTCTCTCTCTCTCTCTCTCTCTCTCTCTCTCTCTCTCTCTCTCTCTCTCTCTCTCTCTCTCTCTCTCTCTCTCTCTCTCTCTCTCTCTCTCTCTCTCTCTCTCTCTCTCTCTCTCTCTCTCTCTCTCTCTCTCTCTCTCTCTCTCTCTCTCTCTTTCTCTCTCTCTCTCCCTCTCTTTCTTTTTCTTAACGTGTTTACTTGATTTTCAAATATGAAATCAACTCTCACTCACTGAAGTATGCCAACATCCGACAATGCTCCGAGAACCACTTGCGAAACGACGCTCTCTACCTCGCCAAAACTGGTCGGCTATAACCTCCACTGATCACCCCAGGCTGAGCCATTGCCCAGCCTGCATCACATTCCCGTCCCCGCGTCCCCATGCTATCGTCACCGATGCGCCACGATTCGCCACGCCACTACTGGCAATAAGTGGACGTCCGGCAAACATACACTGTGTAGCCTGGCGTCTCGCGGCGCCTTCTCCGTGTACATAGCCGGAACGGGACGAATAAACAGGCACATCCGAGCGCGCGAGGGGGGGGGGGGGTGGACCCCATCAGGGCCGGTCCCCGGGCGAGCGCCCAACGACCGCTCGGATAATTGTGTTCTGGGGATGCTGGATAACGATGCTGGCGTTATTGTTCCACTGTCTTCTTTTCGGAGCCAATAGCAGAGGGGCTTTTTAGAACAAACGCTATATGTATATGTTACAGGGAGTTTGAGAAATCAGTGAGTTTGCAAACTCCCTAGGGAGAGTGCTACGGCTCACATTTAACCAACACATGTGCGAATGTACGCAAATTAAAATATATATATCCTTTCAAACGCGTTACTGGCAAGTCAGAATGTAATTTTGTGATTGAACGAAAGCCGTGTGCAACGCAGACTTTTTGCAAGCTATTTTCTACACTTACCTATATTTACATATATTTTTCATGAAATGTTTTAGACTATGACATAAAAAGTGAAAAATTAAAGAAATATCAAAAGATATTATCCTCTATCCTATGTAAAAGCCTGAGACCTTCCACCAACGATTTCCTTATCAATGTGCGGAATAACCGGTTTGCCAAGAATTACACAAACGTTCCATTCTGGTAAGCCGCACATGATCTCGGAATGCGATGCGCTCGAGTGCTTTTCCACAAATGTGCGTTGTTCCGATTGGTGCGGATTGTGAACAGCCGACCGTTTCCCAGACCCGCTGAGAATGGGGTCTCGTTCGGAGAATCTGGCACCATGATGGTCCTACTCCGCGAACTCAGTTTTAGTTCCGGAATCCCCTCCCCAGATCCAGCTTATACTGCCGATCCAGTGGTGTAATATCGGGCTCTGATCAACGACAAATGCCACCAATATGGTCGACCACTGCGCTGAAGTCAAACGCCTGACTCTCCATGACATGACTGCACATGGAGCGGCACTTTGGGTGTAAGCTATTGCAGTACTGAACAGACTCCGATTATTCATATTTCATTCATTCATATTTATTTTGCACCAAACATTGGCAAATTCCCGACAGCTGATAACAAACAATCATGCAGCTGATAACAATTATAATGCACAACATATTGCACGATGTTGACGGTGGATACTCACAGTTTTCGGAGTCCGCCGAGACCTTTGAACGCCAGCTGGTCCACGTGACTGAGACGAAGGTTTCCGTTCAGTTGGCTGAGGAGACATGTACCACAGCCGGTCAGGTCACCCACGTGCAGATTCCACGTGGCTTTGGAGTTGGACAGTACCCAACTACCATCGCAGATGAGGGTGATTTTTCGATAAGAGGTGAAATTTTTAGACTTTCTAAAACACATCAGCGCCAAGCACATTATTTCGTACATACAAGTGACACATAGTCAAAAACATACAGCAGTTACACGGCGCATAGACGAGTGTACGCTTTTACAGCCCTCCTCCTACACACGGGACTTGTGCGTCACTGCGGGTCGGTATTTACGACGCCGGTTCAATGGTCAGAGGTCGCCGTGTGCGGTCAGGTTTCCTCTCTCCGTCACCACAGCACAGAGCGCTCACGTGGAAAATGGCCGGCGCGAGTTAGAGCCCCAGCCTTGGTTCACCTGAATGGCCCAGCTGCAGAGCGATAACCTGGAAATGCACCCATTGTGGCGCAATGCCTGCCGCGCTCCGGCTGAACGAGTGGAGGCCCATGCATGCAAATAAACTCGTACGTCTTCAGAAATGTCCCATTTCGAGGGAGGTTGAGATTTATGGTCATGATCGGTGCTTCATAGCAGGATATAGGGATACCCGGCTTGTCGAAAGTCGGTATATTATCAGACAGCGTACCAAAGGCAGACTATTCTTCTCAGAAGACCATAGGACTTCAGCTTACGACCATGCAAAGCTCGGCCGCAATATTGAAACTAACTATAAATCACCCAAGCCCTTGCCGCTGTATCTGATGTTCAGTAGTTTCCATGTTATGCTGTTTCTTATGCAGCGTGATTTGCTAGAGATGACAAATATTTTTTCCAGCTGAATGTTTCAGCATTTCTACAAATAACGTCCTAACAAGTGGTGCCAATCGGAACTTGTATTCCGATTTTGTTCATTGTGCAATTCGGAATGTGCAGTTGGACAAAAGCAGCAGGATTTGGACAATATTGAACAATCACTTTTTGGAGCAGTGTTGAGTGTAAATTATTGCGTAATTTTCGGAAATCTTTGGACAAATGGCTGGCTTGAACATTTTTGGACGGCCAGTCGACGAAAATATCGGACTTTGGACGGGTATTTGACGGACGGGCATTTTCTGAAACTGGCACTACTAGTCCTTGCGAGTGCCGATATATTCATGAAGCCGAAATAAATAAACAATGCGATACGGATATAAGTGGGAAATGATTTTGTAGCGTTTCAAGTATCTTTTTCTGCTGCCTCACAATGAGCAATTTAACCTCAGCCGGCGCCGATAATTTCAGCACTCTCGAAAGCATATGGGAGGAGTAGTAACAGACGACCTCGAACCTATGCCCAATAAACTCATGGACGCTCACAACAAGCGTCATGCTTAACAATGACCTCCGGCAGCATCTAGACCGACTTGATGCAGTATCGCCGTTGGGTCGCTGGCCGTGACCCCAATTACTCCTTTTCCGCCCACCTTTGGCCTATCCTCCACGGCATTAACCATCCCCTCAGCTGGAGTGTCCGCTCCAGAGACTGGAGGACCTCTCCAGGCAGCCATTTGGCCCCGTCTCCCGCGGTGCGGGTGAGGACTCCCACCTCGCCGCGGTCGGCGTGCATTGGAACGACGATCACGAGCTCATTTCTCGCCCGCAGCTCTCGAAAGTGGAGCGAGGGGATCGACGGCTCGACCGGGGCGGCCGCTCCGGGGGCCGTCTCCTTCCGGGACCGCCGCGATCGGCGACGGCGAATAGACCGGAGACACGCATAGCATACCGACCGGCGGGCCGACCGGAGGGCCGGAATGGCGCGGGGTGAAAAACGAGTTCCGGGGAGATGCAGAAAACAGCGAAACGTTCGCACAGCCAGAGCTGAGCTTGTGTCTGCTGGCGCGACGATTTGAGCCGGCGCGGCGAGAGGCTACTGTATTTACTGCACAGGTGCTCACAAAAACGGTATTATGCAAGGAAACGCACTCAAAGTAAGATGATGCTGGGACGCGCAGGCAAACAACAAATTTATTCGGGGAAATAGTCCAGAAAAAACAAGCACGAGTACGGAAAACGAATGCAAAAAAGGAAGTCAAGTTTGGAAGAAGTCAAGAAGTCGTCTTAGGGATAGCAGTGCATAAAATGACGAGTGACTACTGACTAGTGACATGTCTGGCAGCAAGTCTACTGACATGTGTATTATGTATCTATGAAAAAATATTTAGCTGACAGTGTCATGTTTCTAAGTCACATATCTTAAAGGGACCCTCCCACCTTCAAAAAAGTTTATGAATTGGCATGAAAGTGATGTCGCTCGGTTCAGAAAGAGCGAAAACGAATATCTACCAAATTTCACCGAAAAATATTCACCGGTTTTCAAGATATTAGACTTTTACTTTTGTTTACTTTTTTTGGGATCTCCGCTGTTTCTAGCGACTTTATTTTAGAAGTGCGGCGTTTGCGGCATATGTTGCGCGCAAATAGCATATACCACCGCGTGCTACAAAACGTTTTAGTCAAACATTAAAAAATCGTTAGATATCAGCGCTGACGTCACACATTCAGAGGGGTATTCCTAAGCATTAGCCCCTCTGAATCAAAATGCTGCAATTTTGAAATTCAATATTTCCGATTTAAGGCATTTCTCGATGTTGTGAGTGCCGAAACCGGTAATTGTGAGCCAGGGACCCCATTTTGGCTATCTCAACTCAAATCTAATGTTAAGGTGGGAGGGTCCCTTTAAACCTCGCTATGCAAAGCCATTTTTTATAATGTGCCCTGGCAAGGGGGGGGGGATCGATACAACCCCAATGGCGTTTCGAAACTTAGCGTCGTAGCACTTCGCTACAAAGACCAGGCGGTTGCTCTCAACGATTACTCGCGATTGGTGGTAAATTCTTTTAGCCCTAGATTAATATTGGACCCAGTTATGACAGGTCGAAGGTACATTTCGGGGAAACGCTATAATTTTCCACGTTACTTAGCTAATATTGGCGAATTTACATAGCGTCAGCGAATACAATGGCGAATACAATAGCGACATGAAACTTTCACAACCGTGTTTCTCAATGAATGAGCAGGAAAAAATGTTTGTTGACCACATTTAAGTTATTACTGGCGTGACTTAGTCCCCGCGAACACGGGAGGTCACACCGGCCGCCGGCGAGAACGGTCCTAATTGACTTGAGTTGACCTTGTAAAGATCAAGGAACAGTTTTGAAAGCGTTTAGGTGGAAATTGAACCACAGATTCGGATTGAGGACCTCAAGAAACCCCACCAAACACAGCTCATATCACAAAGGTCATCGTGTGAACATGCGAGATCATTGACCTTGCTTGACCTTAGAAAGGTCAATATACAATGTAAAGATTTATGTCCTGTCAAAATCTGACATAAATCACACGGAATAGTTTCGTTCTTGTCGATGAGATCACGCCCAGTTACGCGGAATGTACGATGTTGTTAAAAACGGAGGTTGTACATACCTATTATGACGCCATAGCTCGGTGACCTGACATGGCCCGAAAATTATTTTTTATCAAAAGCTGCGCAAGGAATGCTCCATAGGCTGTTGGAAATCTCAGCACGATCCGACTAATGGCTCAGCAGCCATCGCAAAAAAAAAACTCGGGGGGGGGAGGCTCACATCGACCCCCCTCTGCCAGGGCGAGGGTTAATACTATTCAAGTGTGCAATGACTAATTATAAATCTTACAGTCAACCAAAGTGATATATCTTATAACATGATAAGTCCAACAAATACCGAGGCCAAAACCTGTGCACCTCCAAAATCACTCATGCATTGGCTGGTGGCTGGGGCCTGAGACCAACAAATATCCCGGATCAGAGCGCCGATATGTAAGCTATACATTGAGCCGCTGGGATTTGAGATCTCTTATCCGCGTGATACCCGCATCCCGACTGGGCTGGGTGACACGAATCACGCCCTTTACGACATTGCTGCATCCTAATTCAGTGCGTCTCGCCGCGAAAAGTTCGGATGTGGTTGCTAGTTATAATTGTGCATGCAACTTCAACTGACACTGGGCTTGAACCAGTCATTCGGAGCATGTTTATCGTATCTTAGGTAAAAATAGATAAAATATACTACAATGAATCGCATGAAACATAAATGCATATAAGATGCGTTTTGATAGTTCTAATCATTATTATCATTATTTCAATACCAGTTATACTGCGAATTATATCTTTCTGCATTACCTTATGAAACAAAATTATGCGCTCACGTCGTTTCAACAGATCCAATGTTTCAAACTTACATTGTGCCGATGAGGGAGCCATTGAAAGCCAGTGCCGAAATCGATTCCAGCTGGTTATTAGCTAGAGACCTGCGAGAAAATGAAGCATTAGGATACTAAACGACATGGTCGAAAAGCAAGGTACTGCTGCACATGGCCCTAGCAAATGGGTATTCATAACGAAAAACTTTCAGGCACGTTGCATTCCCAGCAAAGCGTAAAACCATAAGTGATTTTCCAATCGATATTGATTATCATCTCAAAAATGCCTAAATATGCTGAGCTAAAAAGAGTTGCTTTAACCCTCGCCGGACCTATTGGTTTTCTACATACGCGCCGGCCGAGGGGGGGGGCGGGTACGACCCCCCCCTCGCCGTTTCGCCCCTGGTGGAGCTAGCGCGTCGCGGAAAAAACGAGCGTGTGCGCCGTTACGAGACGCAGAGATTGGTACCCGATTTTAAGGTCCTAGGTCAACCGGTGACCTCTGAGGTCAGGTCAAGTGCCCCAAGGTACGGTTCAGTTTTTGGTGAATAACTTCGCAAAAAACGGTCGCAGAGCGCCGATTTTGGCAGCATCGTGTTCGTCTCGCTCAGGCGCGTCGAATGATATACTTTTTGTCCGGGTCAGGTCAACTTGGGGTGTTGACCTCAGGTCAAGGTCAGGTCAGCACCCCCAGGTCACGAAGTTGGTCGAAAGAGGTCATGTCGCATATCATTCGATTCGGCAGGTCTTCCTGAGTCCATTGGTGGCTTTTCCGACTCGCTAGCTCAATTTGATCAAGAGTTATTGACGAAAAACTAATATGACCTTGATGACGTCATAAATGACGTCACGCAAGGTCAACATTGCAAAAGTGACGCACCTAACCTTGCAAGGAGTGCATAAAATCATGATTCTGTGTGCTTGAGATAGTTGGAGATCGTTCCCGGCGCCAGAATAGCAGTTTTCATTTTTCCCCATTGACTTATAATGGTGAGGTCACGAAAATGACCTGACCTCATATGACCTTTAGGAAAAATCCGAGATATACAAGTTGTGGGACTCATAATGGATTCTAGATCCTGCAAGTTTCATTTCCCTGTGACATCTCCTCTGGCAGTGAGGGCGTTGCGAAGTTGCGACATCTGAAGACCGTGCAGAGGTTCACTTATGACGTCATAGGTCAGTGACCTGACCTGACCCAAAAATGCGGTTGGTGTCAAAAGATGCGGCTTGGATCAAAGGTCAGGTATGCCAAGTTTCAGCTCTCTATCGCCAGCGTGTTTGGAGCTATCGCGAAAAAACCCTATGGGGGGGCGGCACCCGCCCCCCCCCCCCTCGGCCGGCGAGGGTTAAAATAAACTAAAACAAAATTGGGGAACACTCACAGTTGATCGGTAGTCACTCTCAGGCCGTTTGTTGGCAGCAGCTTGATTTGATTGCCATCCAGGTCACTGAAATGAAGGGAAGAAATCAGCGCGTGCTAATGGCACACGTGTGCTGGTGCTTCATTGCCAAACGGGGGAGCGTTTCACTGCGGGCAATAACGCTAGAGCTGGAGTCTCCTGTTAGTCTCCTATCACAAAATTGTGCTGAATTAATTGGTCCCCCTATATGTAAGAAAACTGTAAGCAAAGAGTATCGCCGTTGAAAGGTAAGGGCTACCCTGTGTCAGCTACCTCTAAGGCTCCCCCGTTTAAAGTTTTTTTTTGTTATTTTAGTTTTATAATTACACGAGTAGATTGAAGTCAGATTTTTACGCAAAATGTCTGCCAGTTGCATTCAAATCCAGGATCTGGAGCAGGTGAACGAACTGAGCCATATAGGTATGAATGGCCAAAAGATGATGATGCAACTTCACCACCTTAACGTTTGGAGCGGACAAATCCGTTATAGCTAGGATAGCGTCAGAGTGCAGCTGTTTTAGATACAGGTTAAGGAAAACTAGTGCAGATAAGCATAACTTACATCATATGCATGATGTTGTCTTCTGACTGAAGGCTGGATAAGTCCGGCGGCTCCTGCAGGCCCGTGCCCACTATTCGCCTGTAACAGCAACACAAGCAGGTAGTTATCCCTATTAGTGGCAGGGGGGTTGTTTTTATCCACCCCTCAGGTTTTTCGGGAATATCTCCGAAACCGCGGAAGCTACGATGCTGAAATTTTCTGACTTTTCCTAAAACTAAATTGGGCTTATTCCCTGAAAATTTCAAGTTCATAACTTTACCAGGGGCGGCTCCAGAGCACTGGGAATTGGGGGTCCTATTCGTGAAGCGAGTCATTTGGGCGAAGATCACGATGCTGCACCAGTTTTACGAACAGTGAATGAAAGGTATCATGTGATAACATATACAGTTATTGTGCATCCTCTTTTGACACGTTTTTGCTATAATAGGCGGATCCAGGCGTCCAAAAAGGGGGGTTATGTTTTACCTCCCAACATAGGTGCCCTGACACCGCCTATGCATGACCAATACAATTGTAGTCGTTCTCTCATAAGAAAATTGTAACATAACAAGACCATTACCACCCTTTTTAGAAACAGTACCAACAAAAACCTTATTTACTATACTTTTTGTGTACCCCCAATCTCAATGATCTGTATCCGCCTATGATTTTTGAAAATGCATATTTTTAGGATCCATGTGAATTCCTGGTTCATTCTCTATCGATCGGCAAAAGTTGCGTTAGGATTGGTTCAGAAACCTGGCCGTGATAAACAGTCTAAAATGTATCTGCAATTTGCCCGTTTTTACCCCCCTCTACCCCCCTGTTGACATTTTTTAATTTTTATTTTTTAGAAATGTAGATCACGTTGAGCGAAATCGAATGCTGTTTGAATTTTGAAAATCGGCCCGTTAGATCTCGAGATATCAAGGGGGGGTCGTAAACAGCCCCCCCCCCCCGCCACTAATAGGGGTATACCAGGAGCCTGCCACTAATAGGGTTATACGAGTAGGGGAGAGTGGGGCAAAGCGGCCACCCTAACGCTTCTCACGATGCCAACGCTTGATTTTTAAATTTGGAAAGATTCTTTCTATGCCAATGTGATCCCTATTAAGTTGCCTTTTATTTCTACTGCGTTTTATTTCCAAAGGCGTTCACATATGAAAGATATTGACAAAACTTTAAACCTATGCATACACTGTAAAAAAATGTCACGAGCCAATTCTATGACAAGGAGTGGGTTACATGGTCGTCCATTGTACCTTGCTGTTATATATAGGGACATTATCAGCCTGAGAGTTGTTAGTTAAAGAGTGGCCTCGTGAAACAATTGGTTACAAACGGTAACCTAATAACTTAAATGCTTCCCTAACACCCCTTCCTGCTTATCAACAGATTTCGCGCTGTGTCGGAAAACTACGCATAGTCTCATAATTAAATCCGCCAGAAGCTTGTTGCATGCTAGTTACATGCGTGTTTCATTATCGTGTCATATTATTATTATGTCGGCTAATGAGGCACCGCCCTGCACGTGCTTTAAATATAATCCTGCGCACACGCCACCTAGTCGGAAACTCATCATCGGACTAGTCCTGGTAGGGTTTTCGTGTTGCCGAATGAGGCGAAGCGACTTTGATTCGGTAGTGCCTCATAAATCCCTGCTACGGTGAGCAGCGACGAGTCTGAGACTGCTTCTAAAACGCGTCCTTCACTTCCGGCGCGGGGCCGTCATTTCCGGCCGCCATTGTTCAGTTCTGCGGCTGCCGGCGGTTGGTGCGGTTGTGTTGTGGCACGGTGCGTTGTGAAGTTCTCGGACTGGGATATTTTGAAGGTACGTTATATTGTATGATATTTACGTAGCAATGGGCGACATTTTATCTATTTTGTAATATTCTGAACACATGTTGCCTCATAGAATTCACCCCTTGACCGTTGTGGGCCACTGTTTCGTTTGAATTCCGACTATTGGAAGACGGACTTTCTTTCAGTTGCTGTCTAGCCTTTTTTCCAAGTGTGTAAGCTACATGTCATATTGCCTCACATTGATTTATCTTATACAAAAGTCAGTTGATGTAGATAATAAAGCCATCCTCACTGATATTTTAAAATCAGCAGTTAATTTTCTTTTCTGTTTGCAGAGTTGCTCAAAGTTGTGGGAGACTGAGGCATGAAGGTATACCGGAAGCCAGCGATATTTCTGTTGGTAAGCCTCGCCCAGAAAAAATACTTGCTTGAATCTGCAAAGTATGGCAAATATTTGATTGCCTGCACAGTGCACAATGTACCTGACATGGCAGGATCAACTTGCTCACTCGCCTGTTGTAAGTGCCGTTGCGTCAGAGTCCGTGGAACTGCCCGATCGTGTCTCATGCAACCGTATTATTTTGTGAATGTTATTGGTGGTGACTCGAATCAGCTTTTGCACCACTCCACTATGATATTGTAATATGTATATATTTATATATTTTGTATCGTATGCTGATAAGTAATAAACGTTATTTTTTGTGTTTTTTTTTTGTAACGTGGTTGGCACGCTGTCGTGGCTGTCGTTGGCCGGGTCGTCCACCAGTCGGAGGGGCGGCTGGGGAGGAGGAGAGGGGAGGGTGACGCAATTGAGCTAGTATTACTACTGGGCAGCAATAGCAGGCGCTAGCTGGTTGGGTTACCAGGCGAGTCCTGCTAAGGAGCCTAATCGGCGTACCGATCTGCTGGTTTTGCCCTCGTTTTCAAACGAGGTACCGAATAACGAAACGAGGGGCTGACACGGGGGTGCTCGGTTTATCAGGCGTGGGCTTGTCATTTACTAACGAAACAAGCTTGTACCCTCTTACTAGCTAAATATGAGTCGATTTTTACACGTCGCTGCATGCTCATTTTTGCGCCAGCGGTTTTCCTACAAGGGGCTTGTAAGATTTTTTTACAGTGTATTGGCCACTTTGCCCCATACCCTGGGGCAAAGCGGCCACCGGCGTCTTCTCAAGTCCCGATATGAGAAACAAAATACATAGGCGTAGGAACAGGGGGGGCCAGGTGGGCAAGTGCCCACCCACTTTTCGAGGTGGGGGGCCAACCATGTGTTTTGGCCCACCCACTTTTTACTCGAGGCCCCTCGTCTCGATTTGAGAGGACGTCGTCACCTTCCAGAATAAACAAACTCGGTAAAAATAAGTTCCACGAATCCCCACGCACGGACTCCAAGGGGCCGTGATGGATCCAAGGAGGCCCTCTGTTCATACTTGTCAGTCGAAGCCCCTGAGACTGATGGCCTGAGAGGCCCTAGTGGATCTGAGGAGGCCCCAATATCCACACTGGTCTGGGGAGGCCCCTGACACTGGCGGTCTGGGAGGCCCCTCTATCCACACCAGTCAGAGGTCTGAGACTGGTGGTCTGGGAGGCCCCTCCATCCACACTAGTCAGAATAGGCTCCTGACACTGGCGGTCTAGCCGAGGCCCCCTACCCTCAATAGTCAGAAGAGGCCCCTGAGACTGATGGTCTGGGAGGCCTATCCATCTACACTGTAGTCAGAGGAGGCCCCTGAGACTGATGACCTGAGAGGCCCTTATAATCCCACCAGGCAGAAGAGGCCCATGAGACTGATGGACTGAGAGGCCCTTCTATTCATACTGGCCACAGGAGACCCCCAAAACTTTCGGTCTGGGAGGTCCCTCAATCCGGCACCAGTCAGAAGAGTCCCCTGAGACTGATGGCCTGGGAAGCCCTTATATTCACACTAGGCAGAGGAGGCCCCTGAGACTGATGGTATGAGAGGCCCTCATATTCACACCAGTCAGAAGAGGCCCCCGAGGCTGATGGCTGTGAGGCCCTTCTGTTCATATAACTGGCCACTGGAGGCCCCTGAAACCGGTGGTCTGGGAGGGCCCTCTATCCAAACTAGTCAGAAGAGGCCCCTGAGACCGATGGTCTGAGAGGCTCTTATATTCATACTGGTCGCTAGAGGCCCCTGAGACTGATAGTCAGAGAGGTCCACTCCTAATGAATCTGAGGGGGCCCTCTATCCACATTTACACTTTTCTAGGGAGGCCCCCGAGACTGATGGTCTGAGAGGCCCTTTTATTTATACTGTCCACAGGAGCCCCCTGAGATTAATGGTCTGAGAGACTCTTCTATTTATACTAACCAGAAGAGGCCCCTAGGATTGATGGTCTAACAGGCCCTTCTATTTATACTAGCCAGAGGAGGCCCATGAGACTGATTGTCTGAGAGGCCCTTCTATTCAAACTAGGCAGATGAGGCCCCTGAGAATGATAGTCCGAAGAGCCATGCGGCGGCAACTGGCCGTGGCCATATTTCGGCTCGGTAGGGCCCCACAGAGCTCATGAGAGAACCTCAAGGGCTCCTAAGTAGACACGCTTATCCCCATAAGGGTGCCACGCGTGCTTCTGAAGGCTCCTTGTAGGCATCTAAGGGCCCTTTCCGGCCTCTAACGGCTCCACCCGCCTGTGATGGCTCCACACCAGTGTTTATGAGCGCCACACAGCGGCGCCTTTTGAGGGTCATACTAGTGTCTCTTAGGGCCCTATATCGGTGGCTCTGGGGGCCCCACACCGGCGCCTCTGTGGGCCACCACACCTTTGCATCTCAAGGCTCTATAGATACTTACATCTGAAGGACCCACACCGACACCTCTGAGGGCCCCACACCAGTATCTCGGAGCTCTGAAGGCCCCACACCGGTGACTCTGAGGACTCACCGGCTCCTGAGAGCACCATGTTGATGTCTAACGGCTCCACAAGGCCAATGAAGGCACCACACAAGCTCTCACTGAGCTCTAATGCCCATGTACCGGCCTCGCCAGCGCATTCATAGCTCCACACCAGCAATTGTAAGGGCTTCACACTGAAGTATCTGAGGGTTCCACACCGGTGTCTCTAAGGGCCACATACCGGCATCTCTGAGGGCCCCATACCGGCGTCTCCGAGGGTCCACATCTGGCGAGCACTCATCAGCGACTGAAGGTCCCACACTGTCGACTCCGAGAGCCCCATCTGCGTCTGGGAGCAACATGTCGTCTCTAAGAACCACGGCGGCTCCTCCGTCGAAAGATGGGCGTCTGCATGCCAAAGGGGAGCGGTTCTGA